CAACTGCCCTGCCTGGCCGCACATCTGCAAAGCTGTTGAAGAATTCATCGGCAAAACTCGTCGATTCCAGCCCTGAGACTTAATAAATAAGCAGATTACGGCGAGAATCGCCTCTGGTGGAACACGCCGTCAACTAGTAGAAGATCAAGATCATACCTCGCTCTACAATCGCACGTACTGTGAGTAGAATAATGACAGCTCGTGCAAAGCACAATACGCGTAGAGGCGCGGGGTAAAACCGGGGGGCTTTGCGCCCCCCAAATCAGGGGTTTTCCGTCATTGGCAACGAGACGAATCAATTATTGATGTGGTGTAAACTTTGGCTTACCGACTTACCGTCATACATATATATAATAACTTGAGACGTATCCTTTTATTATTCTGATTGGAGCTCGATTGGAACACTCCCCAATGACATTTTCTGTGATTTTTACTTGTTTTTCCTTTATTGATATATTACCATATACCTACATTAATTACCGTATTATTAATGCGATATTACCATATTATTGATGTGATATTATCATATCCATGAACATGCCATTGAGCATTTACAACAACCTTGTCCACTGCAAGCTTTATATCAGAAGCCTTATAGCATATTTTCTGTATCTATAAGCTTACAGGATGGCTTGTAATTTCACACCATTTTAATTGGGTTAAGTGAATTTACTATAAAAAAAGATCATGAAAAACATACCTGAAACAGAAAGGAATGTTTTAGTGACAACTATCCTATGTTTTGGAGAACTAAATCATAGTTTAGGTCTATTACTTTTCATTCTATGATGCCTGGTGCACAATTCTATAGATGACATTCTATGCACAATTTTGTGATGACCAATGATGCACTAATTTTTTGATAATTGAAATTTTTTTCGCTGAGCGAGGTAAATGTAATCAATATTCTTTGTTTTTAATCAATTTTTTTCTTAACTGGAGCCTTTGCTAACTTATCTTCTACTGTATATGCGTTTTTGGGGGTGTCCCGAATAGCCCCGGGGTGGTGTCCCTAGTAGCCCGCCGTCCGGAAATGGCCGCAATTTTTTTGGGGATTGAGGTATGTAAATTCCATAAATAAAGTTTTCATGCTGACACTTGTCTGCCACTTTTTTCTATGCATAATTTTTTAATACGGCAAAAATTTCTTTTACTACAGACCTTAGCAGAAGTAACTTTTCAAAATATTGTTTTTTACCATTTTTTTCAGGAATTTTTCAAAGCTAGTAAATGTAGTATTTTTGAACTTCCTTTATACTACATAGATAGGAAAAATGTTGACGTTTATGCCACTACATAGTGGCAAACCAGAGATTTTTTGGAATCAGTTCATTTTTAATTTTCCTAAAACTCGAGATTTAAACCAATTTCTTAAGTATGATAATGCTGGTATCCATGATACTTTACTGGTCTACTTATAGGACTCAAAAATGAACTTGAGGGAGAGTCTAAAAAACTCTCTGCTTTGCCACTATGCATGATACTTTACTGGTCTACTTATAGGACTCAAAAATGAACTTGAGGGAGAGTCTAAAAAACTCTCTGCTTTGTCACTATGTGCCACTATATTTAGTTTTGCAATATTCCAATTAGTTTTGCTACTAAAACAGTTTTACGCCGTGTTGGAGGACTGTCCTGAGTTACCCCGCCCATCCCAAGTAGACCCGGTTGACGGTACGGCAATCTATCACTCATTGGTTATTGTACAGGAATCTGATCACCCACACTGGGTTGTATGCTCTGACTCTCGTTCGGCGCTGCTCCTCTTGAGTTCACCACAAGGCATGTCAACCAGATGCTCCCTGCTGGTCCTAAAAATTTGTAGGCTGCTCAGAAGACTTAATCTTCAATGATATGTAACCTTGCAGTGGGTTAAAGCCCATGCGGGCATACTTGGAAATGAGCTAGCTGATCGTGCAGCCAAACTGGGTCATGGATTAGATCATAGCACCTACCATACCATAGAATATTCTGATGCCCTCTACTGTCTACGTCGTAAATTTCTGTCAAATTGGGAAGAAAATTGGTCCCAAACTGTTGCTGAGTCTGGCAAAGGCAGACATCTTGCATCATGCATCAATTAGAGAAAATCAAAATGTCTGACTTACCACTGTGCGAGAATTGCAGAGTGGAAGAATGCTCGTCAACTAATGAGGCAGCCCTTGGAAAACATTGGCATTGAGGTGCTAACTGTGCGTGCACTGCTTGGAGGTGAAGTCATCACAAAACAGGAGCAGCACTTCATCATTGGGGCATTATCTGCATTCCTCGCAAGCACCGGAAGATTGGAAACCCTGTGAGGTCACACTAATCAAAGCAAAGTGGCTCCCAACTGATAATGCAACTACAAGCCTGAAATAAATTGTCATGTCCTGGTGTGACAACCGACCTGTGTGAGGTCATTTACTACACCTCAAAAAAGACATCATCATCATCATCTAAACCCAGTTTAAGGTGTTACAAGTGGTCAATGTGCAACTTCTTCACTTACAACCCGCAAACACCTAAACCCAGTTTAGGCATGGGGCTTTATCATTTATGGACTAGCTTCCAGTGCTCCTATAAGAATAAATAAGAAAAAAAAAGTGTTCAGCACTCCATAGTCACTTAACATGGAGCAACTGTGCTTATCTCACAGTCACACAAACTGACCATCTGGTTGGGAGGGGTGACTGGGTGAGGGTGATGTTGTGATCTACTGTGATCAGTGTGATGTAGATTGTATGAGAGAACAGGAGACGATTGGATTGTGTTGATAGTGGGTGTGTTGGCACTCACTACTCAGCAGGGGTGACTGCTGCCATGGGCCCATGACTGAGTGAGAGTGAAGAGCATGGTGTCAAACCACAGATTTTTTAGAATCAGTTCATTTTTAATCTCCTCACCTAGTTCTTGCTAAGCACAATCCATTACTCTGTCCATGAGCTGCCAAAGCTTGAAATGAACTCTATTGTTTCCAGATCATTGATTTTTCTCCAAAATAAATGTGCATCACTGCTTCATGTTTGAACTATGTTGGGCTTATATTCTGATGTAATTGCTAGAAGTAGAATTTCACTGACCAGCTGCTCACTTAGCTGAGTATCCTGGCAGAATGGAGGAAATCCCCAAAGGCCGTACCACTTATGAAGCATTGACTCATCTCCATGATGACCTCAACAGTGTTATTCAAGATCATATTTATCCTAACAGGTGAGCTCTAGTACTGGTGATTCCATTTTAAATTTTATCTGTTGTTGCCCATGTATATTATTTTGAATAATACCAAACTTATATTTTTTGAGAATGTAATTCCTCCAGAATAGTCAATGGCATATTCCTACAGATGGAAGCTGTGGCACACAGTTTTATTGGAGGCATTTGGACACCGTAGTACACTTTCTGTGTTCCGATGGCCTGCTGGTGTGGCATTCCTCTGTGCTGCCTTGGTTTTCCTCATTGTGGGATTGCTTGACAGCAACAGCATCAGGTGCTCAGGTTTCAATATTTATGTGTGTGATATGCATGAATTTGTTTAGGCTAGTTTTGCAAATTTCTAATTAAGTGGTACCTATTCATCACACTAGATAAATGAAGTTTTTTAATTGTATTCATTTCTATTAGAGGCTAACTTGAATATTATTTTTAATATCACTGATGTTTTCTTGATATACTATCAATTGTCACCATTCACTGTACAAAAAATAAAATATAGCAAACTTTTAGTTAGTAATTAAATATTTCTTCAAAATAGGTATAGTTTGCTAAATTTATTAATCAACTATCAGCAAATCTCCTGAAGAATTTGCAGTGAATGCATGAAATTCATTTTGTTCTTTGTAGTTCTCCTATGATTGCCCATAGGAATAAAAACGAATATTTGAATACTAAACATGTTTCCTTATCCAGGTTTTCTTGCGTGGCTGGAGTTGGTTTGTTGCTCATGTTGCTGTGGTGTCTCGACGTCACCATTGTGCTCAGGGAAGCCTATTTACGTCACTCAGAGATGACCACTCTTGCTTCTGACCTACTGGCTCTCATAAAATGTTCGTTACCATTCCATTTTTTGTGTGTGAGTCTTTTTTCCTAGAATTCAACTTGTTTGTGTTCATTTTAGAATAAAATTGGGTGAATTTTAAGGTTTAATTTTCAAATGCTGTGGTACATTTTTGGGTGGATTCTGGTTGTCAGAATGAATGCCCCAAACGGATTATGTGACCTTGAAACTTGGTGGATATTTCAGATATCTTAGAGTGTTTATAATTTTTTTGGCCTTAAAAATAATTTAATATTTGTATTTAAAACAATTTTCTGATACATCCACTAATGAGACATTCTCAAATTACTTCTACTATGATGTTCTGTGAGAAATACTATATGTTATATACCATATGGCGTATTACTTTAAGTTGGCCTTGGGTTTCCAGCAGAAGCAGGGTACACTGAGTGGTCAGCACGACACTACCCTCACCTGCACTCACCGCAGTCACCGTGCATCAGCCTGCAGTGGTGTGTCAGGGACGGCATGGTTGTCAACCTGCCTGCTGCACTGCTTGTTGCTGGCGACACCGTCATGCTGCGACCAGGACAGAAGCTCATGGCCGACTGCGTGCCTATGGGACCTGTGAGTAGTAAAGAACTATTGTTTTAGGACTCTAAAGAATATGGTTGTACAATGACAATATGGGCACCATTATAGGAAATGACTTAGGCCATTGACAGGGTGACTTAGAAAGTTTTGCCATTTAGGAGAAGAAAACCCTATACACAAAAAGTTATTTTCCTGGGAAAACTGTGTTGATGGGTCATGAAGTACAATGAGATAACCTACAAATGCAATAAAGAGATATATTTAATATGCTGTATTTACTACGTGAATATTTGTGTCACACAACCGTAAGCGCTAAAAATTATTTGAGTCACCCTGTCACTGGACTAAGTCTTCCCGTTAATGGTCGAAGTCACCCTGTCAGTGGTCGAAGTCACCCTGTCAGTGGTCGAAGTCACCCTGTCAGTGGTCGAGGTCACCCATCATTTTATGGCAGTACAAAGATAACACGGACGTACAAAGATAATTTGATAGTAAAAAGATAATATGGTCATGCAAAAATAATATGGTTGAATAAGGATAACATGGTAATAGGAAATTGGTACAGAAGATGTACAACATTTATGCCCTTTGAGAATTACCATAAAGATTTACTTATAAAGAAAAATTTATGGCTTTTCGTTAATATTAGGTAAAGAAATTTTAAGATGAAAACTTTCTTTTATGTTATTTCCTTTCCATTTTAGCTGAAAAACTCTATGTTCAAATTTCTGACAGAATTATTACCTTTTGTATCAGGAAATGAGATACGTCATTTGCCTTCTTGTAGTACGGTATAGTCATAGTTTTCTTTTCTGAATCTAAATACAGATGCCTGTCTCGAAAAAGTTTGTAACTGAGTTTAAAATCACGGTGGAAATCTTGAAAGATTGCCAGTTTATATTTTTGTAAACTATATAGACAAAATTTGTAGATCGTGATTTTCAATTTTAACTATTTTAAAATGACAGCGTTGTTTAACCGGGATATCCATTTGTGTCATTTCTGACTTACATTTCTAACCAAAAAAAAAAAAATCTTTTTATAAATTGCTATCATTCGCCATTTCTAATTTTCCTGGAAGAAAATTTTCTTTTGCGTGATTATTTTTGCACTATGTATAAAGTCTATAATACTAGAACTATGGAACTCATTCACTGTTAACTCTATCTAAACTCTCTCTCTCTCTTAAAACTCTCAGGCAAAGCAGAGAGTTTTTAGCTTATTTTCTCATTTATGGTAAAAAAAGGCGATGTAGTGCTCGTCATGTCCGTCTGTCTGTCTGTCTGTCCGTCCGTCCGTCACGTTTTCGTCGACGAGAAAATGCGCTCGCTGTCACTCACTGCAGTGAGTACTGAGTTATATTTTTTAGACTCAAGTTCATTTCCCATAAGTAGACCAGCAAAGTATCATGGATACCAACATTATCAAATAAAAGAAATTGGTCCAAATCTTGAGTAGATGAGGAAATTAAAATGAATGGATTCTAAAAAATCTGTGGTTTGTCACTATTCGTGTCCCGTCAGCCCTACTGCGAGGTGCTGCCTGAACCCACCTCGCTCTGTTGCGCCACTAGCGATCTTGTGCCCCAACGCTACGTAGTTCTTGTGGCTGTGCTTTAAAAGTTTCATAAAGCAGTTTAATGTCTGTTACGCTGGGTTTTGCTATTTTAAACGTGTTGCTTTTAAAATGTTCTTTACTGAAGAAATTTACGTTTTATCCGGTTGAACTATAGTTTTAATGAACAACCAAGTGCAAAAAATACCAGCGATTGAAATTTTATTCAGTTCAGTAATTTTAACAAGATAGTTACTACCGACGTTTGGCCGTATAGATCGCGGCCGCCTGGCAACATTGAAAAGTGCGGCGAACATCCAGTGGCTCTTTTTCTGACTAAATTGATACTTTCCGACTCTTTCATTTTATTTCATTTTTCATTTTCTCTTTATTTTATTTTATGTTTGTGTTTACGTATTTGTATTATTTTTTATGTTCATTTAGTTTTCATTTTATTTAATTGCACAGCACAACGAGCCCCTGGCAGAGTGCGGCACGTTGCTGGCGGGCTCGATTTACTCGACGTCCGTGGAGGGCCAGAGCGGCGAGGCGCTCGCGTCGCCCAAAGTGCGGCTCCCGAATGTGCCCAAGGCGCACCGCGTGCTGCAGACGCCCTTTGTTCCTGTGCTGCGCACGCTCCTGCAGGAGGCCGCGCAACGTCCTGTGTCGGTCCACCAGAAGCAGAGGAACGTCATGGCCTGGGTCATGGAGGCCATACTTGTGCCAGTTTTGCTCGTGAGATTTACAATTATCTGATCAGTTTATTTATTTATTTCGTACATTTTTAATTCGTTATAATAATATATGGAGATATTGCGTAGGTACAGGTAGTGTTTTTAACATACCCAATATTATACTGTTGTTTTAGTGAAAGAAATTAGTTTCTCTGTCACGAATTTCATACTTTCACCCAATAGAACCTCTCCATTTTTCTTCTTTGACCTTATTTTCAAGACCTTTTTCTAGAATTGGAAGTTTCATTCATCCATGAAAAGTTTTTTCATATTAGAATATACCTAATTTTTTGTTAGGTTTTAAAAGTATTACCGGTACTCATTGACTTCTCGCCAGGTCACCTGCATGTTGGTAAACGGCACTCGACTCTACTACGGAGTTTGGCTGAATTCTGCACTGTCACCTCACCCGTCTTACTACAGCCTCCCGTACAACTCCTCTCACGTCACATCCTTACCGTCACACGACAGCGCTGGGCTTGTAGCTACTGAAAGTCCCTCCGATCCTGTGACCGAGACCGGCGGCCAGAGCTGCTTCAGTGACGCAGCCTCTACAGGAGAGAGCCTAGCGTGCGGGGACCTGATGGAGGCGCTGTTCCTAGTGCCCTTCTGTGTGGTGCTGCCTCTGCTGCCGCTGCTCCTGCCGTGTGTTTGGTCCGTGTTCAGGATCGTGTCGTCCTCGATTGTGCTGTCGCTGCACGCATCAGCTGCAGGCAAAACAAGTCACAGCCACAGCGCTGACGCTAGCAACGGGCTCGGCAGGAAGGTAAACATCTTAATGGATTTTCCTTTATTTATTTGATCGTTGAAGTTAATAAATTCCGATTTTCGTCAAGGCAATAAAATCTCATCTCCACTTAATTTTGAACTGGCTATCGCAAAAGTAACAACACATATATTGAGTTGGCATTTAAAATATTTTGAAAAGCTTCTAATAACGGATGACAATAAACAAAATAGTAAGTGGAAAATGCAGTTTTCGTTTGACTATATTATTGCATGTAATCTAACCAGTAACTTTATTATTTTTAGATGTAGTATGCAAATGTCATTCATAATTAGGATGCTAACATGGTGTGCAAATATTATTCATAATTAGGATGCTAGCGCAAGATAGCTATGATCACAATCAGTGAGTGTCAAGCGCATAAACGATTATGATGATGGTTTTTGTCTCAGAGGCGTGGCAGTGGTCACTCGGACGGGGGCGAGGGGCAAGACTCTGCCCACCTGTGCCCCCCTGACCCTCCCTCCCCCACTGAGGACGGGTCGCGGGGCTCAGACTCCCCCAAACTTGGTACGTCCTCAGGGGCAGCGAGGCACCTCCTTGACCTGCCCTTGGCAGCATCCTTCTTGACCTGCCCGCAGCGGCATCCAGACACCTCCTTGACCTGCCCTTACATAGCTCAAAAAAAAAAAAATGTTGCAGGATCATTATAATACAGAAGCATTGTGTTGCAGGAGCGTTGTGTAGCAGGAGCATTGTGTAGCAAACCATTGTGTTGCAGGATCATTATAATACAGAAGCATTGTGTTGCAGGATCATTATAATACAGTACCATTGTGTTGCAGGAGCCGTACGCTGGTCCGAGGTGTGGCCCCACGTCCTGCAGCTCGCCCTGGGCCGCCCCAACACCTGCGTCAGGAGCTCCAACTTGCTGCACGTCCTCGCCTCCCTCACGGTCAGTCCCTGCACCTGCCTGAGAAGGAAGTGTTCCTGCAAAGGACAATCAAACTTGAAACTTTATCACTAAGAAACAGATCAATGGGGAAGCAAAAAATAACCTAATTCCTGCAGCCTCGGATAGAATTTGATTGGATCTTCACACTTCACTCATAAGATGTCATTCAATCTGGAATGAAAATTAGTGAAGCCTCAAAAAAAGATAGATTTAAACTTCACGCTTCATAACTAATTCATTTGTGTAGCACCAAATACAGTAGCAATTAATATAGCCTTCCTAAAAGTTTTCGTTTATGGTTTTGCTTATACTTCCATAGATAATAAGAGAGTTAGATGCCATGGGGATAAAAATATACAATGATTCTATATAAATCACTGTAACCTGAAACTGCTAATCAACAGCAATTTAAATTGGAACCGTATGGATGAAGGCTCTGATAGTTAGATGGAAGCTTCAAACTACTAAAAATGCTAGACAACTTGAATTAAACTGAAATATGCCTTTAATATATCATATAATTCAACGAATATACTTGACATGAATAGAATGAAGGTGACGAAGTAAATTAAAACTTCTATCGAAGCTCCAGCAGAAATTTTTGATATATGTCCACTGAAATTGAAAATCATGTAAGCAATGAATGCAAATGGAAAAGATTTCCGCAATTAATTTATTAGATTTACGTACAGATTACATGTTTTTCCCACACAATAGGGCCTTAGAATAGAATAGAATAGAAGTGTCGGCGTTGAAGAAATAGGCCCATGGCCTGTTGCCGATTCTTGAACTTTTTGTGACTTGATTCACAAGGGATCCACTCCATGCCAAGAGCAAGTGAGTCCCCCTCCATGCCAAGAGCAAGTGAGTCCCCCTCCATGCCAAGAGCAAGTGAGTCCCCCTCCATGCCAAGAGCAAGTGAGTCCTCCTCCATGCCAAGAGCAAGTGAGTCCCCCTCCATGCCAAGAGCAAGTGAGTCCTCCCCCCACTGAATCGCACCTTTATGGTGCGCAAGAGGTCAAAGTCATGTCCTTGTTTCATTGCCATTCAGTTCAAATTCATCGTTATAACGCCCTGATATGGCCAGATCGTGAATTTCATGCTTAAATGTGAACAGTTTCTGTTCTGCGAACTCAGATTGTGATTATTTCGAATGGCAATATCTGGGGACCAGAGATCTCATTGAGATCATGATCGGTGCTGACGCTTCTCTCAATGCCAGCCGAAACCTCAGCAAAACAAATTTCTGTCTCTCTGCCGTACTTGTATTTATATTGCATTGCGACTGCAGCCTTATCTTATTATTTATTCCAACGCAAGTGCATTATTGATTTATTGTATTGTATTATTTATTATTAGACAGATTCATGAATTATTTACCTCACTCTACACAATCAACGAGTATAACAATGGAGCATATTTGTGGTTTAGCTCTAATGAAAATAAGAGCTGACCCATTTACACATTAAAAATTGAGTCTATTTTCATAATGATTTCAGTAGGTGCACATAATCAACTCTGTTCGTGTGCAGCTCCGCTATCGTGACGAACCTTCCGTGTGTTCGACTAGTGAACGATGAACATCGTTCACAAATATTTATTGCTCGATTGATACGATAATTTATTCCCATGTGCATTTTTGTTCTTTTGGCTAAATTATTATGTGCCATATGTGGCGTCTGGCGAAGCTGCGCCAGTAACTTTATAATCAGACCTTACTGCAGTTGGAGCTACGTAGCGCGAGGTCAGGTCTGTGTGGCTGTGGGTTAAGAAGTCATTCGTGTCCCGCCAGCCCTACAGTGAGGTTCTCGCTGAGCTCACTCTGCCTTGTTGACTTGCTTGTGAAATTATGCCCGAACTCTAGACATCGTGGCTGCACTCGGAAAGCTTGTTCACTCTATTTTATTACGTTAATCCTATTTTTGAATGTGCCTGTTTTAAAGTGTTCTTTACTGAAATAAAAGTCGAGTTTTATCCGTGTTAACCGAAGTTTTAATTGACAGAATCCTAGTGCAATAAAGTGCATTTTAGCTAAGTCATCATATTTTTACAAGATAGTTGCCTGCGTTTGGCCGTAAGGCTCGAGACAATCCGACAAGATTAAAGGTTGCGGCGAACGTCCGGTGACAGACTGACAAAAATATACTCATCGGGAATCAGTGTTTTGTTTGGTTGATAAGAATTGCTTAGATATTCCTAAAGTATTTACAACTCCCTACTGTCGCTAACAGGACAAACCTCCACTCGAGCAGCGGCTCCCTCGCTGCTGACGAAGATGCCTTCTCGGATAATCTCGTGAGCGTCGGCAGAGGAAACACCGACGGTGCTGACATCTCCACCCTGCCATCTGCCAACACTGTCAGCCCGGAGTTTCCTGACCACTTGCCACCAGCTGTCGAGTCTGAACCCATCCTTCTGTCCCTCACTCACGACCACGCCACTCCCTTTGGCCTGTCTTTTGACGAGCCCCTGTGGCGGGACTTCCTTGGCTCCCTGAAGCCCCTGGGGCTGTCGGTGCTACTGAACACCTGCCACCCCGACACGCAGGCGCACTACACCGCCTTCTGCGGCCACCTCGCCAACGAGGCAGCCTACACCCAGGACCTGGTGCCCGTCTCCCAGCGAAGGCGAGAATTTGGCAAATTTTCTTGCTTTTTACCCTGGAAATTATATTTTTTTGGCAGAAAACAAGTTTGTGAATAGTGGCCTACACTCGCCACGTTTTGCTAGTATATGCAAGAACCCCAATTCTGTGATTTTTTCTGGTTCATTGTTTTAATTTTGTATTTTGACTGAATTCGCTGAGTGTCTGCTTTGCAGTATATTTGGTGAGTGATTTGCATTGACTTGAATCTAGGGAACAGAATTGTAGTATATTCAGTAATTTGATAATGTTTCAGATGTCTATGCGAGCTGGCGCGCCAGATGGGCTTCTCGCTCACAGCCCAAGACCCCTTCAAGCTCGAGCATCAGCTCTCCGTGTTCAGACACGTGGTGGGTGCCAGCTAGGACCTATGCTGTATTTTTCCTGTGTTCGTGCAATACAAATCATGAATTCTCTGTCGTTGAAATATTACTTATAGTGTTTGAAAGGTACACATCTTAATGAACTTTATTAGTTCGTGATTCATGGTAAAACATGTCGTTAATAACACGTTGACCAACCATAAGAATTGGCAAGTAAGAGGAACAGGAAACATGTAAATTAGCTGTTAAATCTCTATAAGTATTTGATCATGATTCCTTGTAAATCATATCAGTAATAAGACGTTGACCTGCCCTCAGAACTGGCTAGTAAAGGGAACAGGAAACATTAATTAGTTGTTAAATCTCTATAAGATCATGATGCAGGGTAAATCATATCAGTAATAAGACGTTGACCAGCCCTCAGAGCTGGCAAGTAAGGGCAGGCTGGCGAGGTCGCTGATGGTCTCCAAGCTGAAGTTCCCCTTCCCTCACCTCGTGTCCGTGCTCATGAGGGACGCCAACACGCACAAGCTGGAGCTCCTCACGCAGGTCTCCTTTCTCCTTATGGCTTGCTCATAGCGCATGCATGATCTCTGTGTGTGTATGCATGATTTGCATGTGCGTGTAAGCACGGTCTGCATGTGCATGCATAATCTGCATGTGCATGCTTCTGTCTCCTTCTGATACCAGTTCAGACAAGAATGTTTGCTAGTTTCCTTTAGAATGTAACGAGTGAATATCACCGCGGCTGAGTTGTGGGCGTGTTTTAATTTGATGACATTCATCATTGGAGCACATGAGTGAGGCGGTGTGAGACTTGGGATAGACTAGCCAAGTGTGTGTGAGTGAACCCGACATTGAGGGCTATCATTGAGCTCATTTACGTGCTCATGTACAAGAGCTTCAACGAGCTTTTGTACGTGAAGTTGTCTAGGCTTTGGGGGGTTAATGTTTCCCCAGCAAGAAGGTATACTTACTTTGTACGTCTTGAAATGTTAACAATGGGTATTTGAAACGCTTTTCCCCGCTGCTGGGCATAGGGTTTAGTACGAATAAATTCATTGCTTTAGTACAATAAATTCATCGTTTCGTTATATTGATGCTATTCCCACCTAGATTGTGAAAATATTATTAAAAGATCTTAACTGATCATTTCATGTTTTCGTGTCCATAACTAAATATATTCGGTTGCATAAAATATAATTTCCTCTTGTTATATAACTGTGAGGGCTGTATTTAGATGATGTATGGCCACACATACGCAGCTGTACAAAATTTATTAGGAAAAATGATACGATATGTGGAGTGCTTGATTGACAAGAATCGTAAGTCTTAGAAATAGATATTTTTTTCGAAAAATTTTTGGCTATACATTTCGAAACATTTTTGGCTATATGATAGAGGTTGTAACTATCAATAATTCATGATTTGAATTGCCGTGCAGCATTCACGAAAATAACAGGTCTTGTCTTATTGCTTTCTCCAGGGCACCGCCGACATCGTGTTGGACTCCTGCTCAGATTACTGGGACGGCTCAGACCTAACCCCGCTCACTGACAAAGACAGGTGATCATTTTAAATATTGTTTCGATCCTCCGTGAGATGAGATTAGGGATTTAGTTTTATCTTCGTAGATCTCTTAGTTAGCAGGCTAAGCATTGCCCTTATCATTGTTGTTTATATTGTATTAAAAATAACACTATTTAATTTCGCTTAGATCATCAACCGTCGCCAGTATTTTCATAGGCCTGTTAACACGAGTCATTATAAATAGTCGAAGGGTGACGTTGACCACCTGAATCAGAATATAAGGACGCGCTTCATCCTTCACTTAATTATTTTCAATATATTGTTCAGGAAGAAGCTGCTGGAGTTCTATCAGCGCACGGCGCTGTCCGCGTACTGCACGGCGTTCTCGTACCGCCCCAGCCCCTGCGTGGTGAACACCGAGCTAACCCACCTCTACATGGAGCTGCCCACTGACCCAGCCCACCTCTACACACGCAGCCCTACGCCCTACAACAGCACAGGTGAGCTGCCCACTGACCCAGCCCACCTCTACACCCGCAGCCCTACGCCCTACAACAGCACAAGTGAGCTGCCCACTGACCCAGCCCACCTCTACACCCGCAGCCCTACGCCCTACAACAGCACAGGTGAGCTGCCCACTGACCTAGCCCACCTCTACACCCGCAGCCCCACGTCCTACAACAGCACAGGTAATTCTATCTATCGACTATCGACGGATACTGAAGATTTTAAACGGAAATAATATACGTTATTGTTGCAATAGTTTTCACGTTATGCTTGTACTGTGATGCGCTGACCAGATTTAGTTTGTCTCAGAGGCGCTGTTTGGTGACGAGGCGCACACGGAGTACGAAGAAGTCAACGACGTCGACGATCTCTTCCACATGCAGTGCAAGCAGATCTTCATCGGCATGGTCACCATGCAGTACCAGGCCAAGATTGACATGGTTAGTGCCACTCGCTCATTATTACATTCCCTATTGAAAATAAAAAAAACAAGGAAAATAAGAAAAAAAGAAAACAAAGCCTTGAGCGTGTGTCTATTCAATAGACACACGCTCAAAGCTCTGTTTTCCGTTTATAATTCTTATGTATTCCGAATGATATTGAATAGTTACGCGCTCAAGGTAGATTTCCAGGAAAATTCCATGCTTTAGTTTCTCGTTAATAGGTAACTCGTAATACCCTGCAGGAAATGACCAAATCATGAAAAAGGCGAGAATTTTTATGAAGTATCTCTTGAGTAAAATTCAGACTGCTGGTAATGATTTCCCTCAGACTTATACTACCCATGCCCTCCGTTATTCTTCACATTCTGAAATGCATGACAAAGTTTTGCAATTGTAGAACCATTATATCTTGTTGATGGATCTTAGAGATAAATATTTACTGTTATTCTTACCGCCTTTTGTTCCAGGTTCAGCTGATAGAGCAGCTGGAATCAGCTTGCATTCGTTTCGTCCACTTCAGCAAGGAAAACGAACTGCGCTCCCGAGTTTTCTCTGAGAAGATGGGACTGGAGAGCGGCTGGAACTGCCACATCTCCTTGCTGGATGACAAGAATAAGTGCGTGTGGTTTGTGTGCGTGTAGCCCGTGTGTGCGTGTAGCCCGTGTGTGCGTGTAGCCCGTGTGTGCGTGTAGCCCGTGTGTGGGTGTAACCCGTGTGGGTGTAGCCCGTGTGTGGGTGTAACCCGTGTGGGTGTAGCCCGTGTGTGGGTGTAACCCGTGTGGGTGTAGCCCGTATGTGGGTGTAGCCCATGTGTGGGGGTGTAGCCCGTGTGTGGGTGTAGCCCGTGTGTGGGGGTGTAGCCCGTGTGTGGGTGTAGCCCGTGTGTGGGTGTAGCTCGTGTGTGGATGTAGCCCGTGTGTGGGTGTAGCCCGTTGCTCTGCTATATTCATGTGGTCCGTTAAAGAACTCGGTTGATTCAGACTGGCCTTGCAATTCAGACACTCGTAGACTCGTAGGTTATTTTAACGTGCATTTATAACACTGACACTCGTAAGAATACTGTCACTGATTAACATTTCACTAATTTCAGTGTAAATATCTGATTTATCGCCATTTTCGTTTGTATATTCGATAAATGTTGAAATATTGGAATATTACGTAATTATAAGTTTTGGGCTGATGCAGAATTATTTGTTACGCAGAGGCAGTGGCGACGGCAGCGCAGCGTGTGCGTCACTGCGCGCGTCAGGACAGTCGCTGCCGCGTGCCTGCAAGGAGACGCTCACCGCTGCCAGCGCGCGGCCTAAGTCAAGGTGATAATCAAACTTCGTAAAAATAAAACTTCAAAGTCCAGGTGAATGTTAAACTTTTATTATATTAAAGTCCATGTGAAATCAAACTTCGTGAAAATCAAACTTCAAAGTCCAGGTGAAAATCAAACTTTCATTAATTTACTTTTTCTTACCCTTCAAGCGGTCAGTTCAGAATACTCTATGTATATGATTATAGAGGATTTATACTCCATAAAGATTAGAAAATCCTATTATGACGTCTGTCATAATAAGGCTGTAATTTACTTACGTCTGTTCTGGTCAAATATTCACTGGACACTAAATTTACAGTGACAAATTAAACGCTCGTCCATACAAAGAACAGTTACCTATTAATTCTAATTATTTCTAACATATCTCATCTCTAATTCTCTTCAAAACTCTTTTTTATAACACACCTTCTAAAACCTAACTTTACTTGAACCAAATTTATGGTATTGTTCGTCACTCTGCTGCTTGCCTGTTGCTGTCTCGCTAAATATTTCATGCGACTTTCATCGAAGGAACGAATGTTGGCTTAGTTTGTAGGCCTTGATTTTTCAACATGGTATTATTCCCGACTTGAATATTTATTTACGTCTACAATTTTTGTGTCTCATTCATATTCTCGCTCAGTGATTGCTCGAACTATCCAAGGCTAGGTTATCTCTGAGGCTGAACGGCATCAATCGAATTGATGGGGAATGATGGACGGATAACAAAATTTTAATTGGATAGAAAGGAATGGACAAAGATACAGGAATGAATACTCAACTTAGTAACCAATATAAGGTGAAATCTCTGGAGGAACAAGGCAAGATCCTTCGAAGGAGTGCAGATAGCCCACGCTAGAATTACAGACGACTAACGGTAGAATAACAGACGACTGGCGGTAGAATCCTGGGCAAATGACGGATGAATCACAGACGACTGACAGTAGAATCCTAGGCGACTGACGGTTAATTCCCAGGCGACTGACGGTTAAATCCCAGGCGTCTGACGGTTAAATCCCAGGCGACTGACGGTTAAATCCCAGGCGACTGACGGATGAATTTCAGGCGTCTGACGGTTAAATCCCAGGCGACTGACGGTTAAATCCCAGGCGACTGACGGTTAAATCTCAGGCGACTGACGGTAGAATCATAGACGACTGACAGATGAATTCCAGGCGACTGGGGGTAGAATCAGAGAACTGACAAGACTTGGTAGTTTAATAGGTCTTATGAGGAAGACAGAATGCTGTGTTAGTCTCGATAGTTTTGCTGTTAACTCGAGTGTATCGGACAGTCTCCCCAACCAGAACTGGAGTGGATACAAGAAAAATTAGCATTGCCCCTTAAATGTTTCAAAGGTTATACAAATGTAATGATTACAGGTATGGCAAACTTATGGATTGGCGGCCTGAGTAAAAGTTGCTTGTGACCGGCTACTGAGTTCAAGTTATTACGCCAAATGTGAATATTACCCTGAAGTAAACTACCCCACTTAGCTTGAACCTTATATTAACTGGCATTCACGAGGCTGCACTGCCGTTCTGTCTTTGCTCGTACTATTCACTGACATTCACGAGGCTGCACTGCCGTTCTGTCTTTGCTCGTACTATTCACTGACATTCACGAGGCTGTACTGTCGTTCTGTCATTGCCCGTACTATTCACTGACATTCATGAATGACAATTGCTTCTCCACGCCATGTCACTGGCTGGCACCCAGTCGAGGGAGGTGAGTCGTGAACACCGATGTCTCACGCAGTATCGTAACCAGCGTCCTCCATGACCGGCCAGCTTTCTAGTTCCACTGCCAGCTTTATTACTGGTTTCTCGCTTCAATTTTTGGAATAATATTGCACATGTTTATAAATTATTTCAAGTCTTATTTTGCAAGCCTAATCGAAGTTTCAAGTTAACTTTTAAGACGTTTGAAAGTTTTAGATTTTTTCGATTGTTTCTTGCTAAATCTTTCATCATGGAAATTTGATCCATTCTGTGATGAGGTTCGATGAAACTTATGTTATGTATGCAGAAAAATGATGAAACGCTTTAATCCTGTTAACTCAACTCTTCTATTTCAACTATATTTGTTTTATTTTGTTTAAGATTTTTCCTCCTGTCAGTTTCTTTGTGAAAGTATTGAATTCTTAGCATGTTTAATGAACACCGACATATGAAACTGTCAGTCATGATATTGCCAGGTTTTTAAGATTAGACTTAATTATATTATTAAAAATTTCTACATTAAAACTGCTTGTTTACGCTTATTAATGAAGTGAAATGATTCCCAATAATTGCTGCTGAACTTCAATAATCGCTAATTTAACATGGCACCCTGGGATAAATTTTTCAGTTATTGCCTGTTTTTTCTTCACATGGCTTGCCCTGGAACTTCTTGCTCGTCTATACGGTCAACAAACTCTCCTCTGACTCCGCCGTGTCGTCCACACGTCTGCTTGCTTCTTCTCTATGCCTCGCTTGCATCTCTCCTTCAGTCCTAATTGATTAATGCGTTTATATATGGTGCATTAACTTTCAACCCTGCTACTGTCGTCGTCACACTAGTGTGATGTACCCTGCTCCCTAATAAATAATTCTGCTGCTATCTTATATTTTTCCTGGATTTGAGACTCTGATCATCTTATACCTCCTAGCTACGGAGTAAAACTTTCTCTCAAATTTTGTGATTTGTGGGGGAGTTTTTTTGTTATTATTTCCGAATAATTCACACTTTTCCCAAATACCCCTGCCTCTAACATTTGTCTCGCTTCAAACATATTCTTAACTTGCTTTTTCCTCCGCAAAAATATTGTTTTCATTCTCATTGTAATGATTATTTCGACGACGAATTTTACCAGCGACTGAATATCGCTGGGATTATTTTTCTAATGTAGTACTTAATGTGAATATTCAATATTTATTAGAATAATTGCTGTTGATTTGACGAGAGTTGACTCACACTGCACTGCACGCTCAGTTGAATTTGAAAATATTAATTAATTTTTCGTCTTTTAATGCACTATTCGTGTCATTGCTGGTGTGACTAAGGCAACGCATTGCTTTTTTTCCATATCATCGCTTTGCACCGCTTGCATCCACCACGATCCTTCGGCCTGCCATCCTCCTTCGCTAACATCCCGTGACATCCCTTCCCGTATGCATCCCCGTATCCGGGAACCCACCTCTCCTTTACCGTGACCTTCCTTCCCTCTCTGCCCGAGGGGCATTATAATCCCTCATTTTTTGGTGTATCGTTTCCCCTCAATTCCCCTCGTGCAGTCAGCGTAGCAAGAGCCTCAAGCGACGACTGGTCCCTGGCAAGTAAGTCAAGATAATTCGTGCTTCACATTAGTTCTTATCTCAAGCCCCGGCAACCATTGCATTTTGTTTTCACCTTTAATTTATACATGCACAGAATTATGTGTAACTTATGCCCATCGTTCCTCTAAAAGGATGTCACAAGATTTCTCTCTTTAAATCGTCCATATTTAAGCCATCAATTGAAATTATCTGGTCCTGAAAACTCCAGAGTTATTTATTACCATAAAAGTCTTTGAACGACTTGTGCATGCCGAACCTGACATGCAGATGATGTTACTCATTCTTATCCCGAAAAGTACTTGCGTTTTCGGTATTCATTTACGTATTATTCGAAATTTATAATCATGGCCCGATGTTTTTGGTTATTATTTCAGAAAGATGCCATAAATGGCGCGTAATTTTGGTATGGTATATTCGCTGTCCGCATTATTCAAAATTTATGAATCATGGCCCGATGTTTCTGGTTATTTTTTCAGAAAGATGCCATAAATGGCGCGTAATTTAGGTATGGTAAATATATACATTGTCTGTTTTCTCAGGAGCGCCCTGCACGGCATGAAGGTACGCAGCCACTCCGCCCCCGCGGCCATCAACGTAGAGGCTGAGGGCGTGAGGTGCGAGGACGACGGCTCGGTCTGCTCCTCGGTCTCATCCTCAGTACTGCATCGTCACCTGGGGTCAGTTGTGTCTTCGCATGTCTGCTCGCCTATACCATGTGCTCATTTCTGCGCTATGTTAGCAAATCGTTAATTTAATTTAGAAAAAATATGTGAGTATTGTTTTTCGGTAATGTTTGGAAAAAAATACGAAGTATTGTTTTTTCGGTTGATTTTTCGGTTTTTGGTCGAGCTGACCACGTCGCAACGTCTTCAATTTTATCCGAATATCCTGAAATAATTTATTAAACTGACCAGTTCAGTTCATCCCGGTTTTTCTCTTATAAGCGGCTGGCCCGGCTAACTAGAATACATAATATTGGATCGATGCATTAAGGAAAGGGTTTGTAACAACATTTTTTGGCGGCCTAATTTTGTGTCAGCAAACTGACGTGAGTTAGTTCCTCCGCCAACTGCATTCTTTTAAATGACGAATATGAAGACATCGGCTGCTGGCTTGGCCGGAGTCCGCCCGACCATGCGTGCCACAATAGCGCATGTAGATGTAGTAGAGAGCGCAGTATAGATCATGCAGTGTCGTGTAAATGCAGTGTAGGTCATGCAGATGCAGTGTAGGTCATGCAGATGCAGTGTAGGTCATGCAGATGCAGTGTAGGTCATGTAGATGCCTGCTTCTCGCTAGAACAACTGATAGGTGTTTGTATGTTCTCCTTGTAGCATCACTTGCTTCTTTCCCTGGCTCATTTGTAAATTCCTCTATATATATATAGTTCTTCTAATTTCATCGATAGCTTATGAATGATATAGTGAACTAATTAATTATTATGATTGAACCTCTACATGCTTTTGAAAGGCCGTAATTTTCACGAAGAAAAATTAAAAGGATTGTGAATAAGAGTTTGACTTTGTTTTAGCTGATTGATGTTCCCTCAGCTGATAGATGTTCCCTCAGCTGATAGATGTTCCCTCAGCTGATAGATGTTCCCTCAGCTGATAGATGTTCTGTAATCAGTGTTTTGTGCTAGTCATTCGTTACAAGGAAGCTCTCAGAGCTTACAATGGACGCGTGTTGCTTCACTGAAATGATTGGCTGATGGCCGTGCATCTTGCCGGCCAGGCATGTCTTCCTAAGCTTATATTTACTGTTAATCCTGTCATTTTATTAACTGCTTTCTTTCAATTCACTAACAAATAATATTATGTTTGGCTGCCTGGACGATTAAGTTGAAATAGTTCCATATTAATTTTCTTTCATGAAGAAAAATGCTACACTTTCTCACGTTTCGAGAAAATTTTCAAGGATTCATTTATGAATCCAAAGAAAAATCTATGATTTTTTTGATTAATGAATCAAAATAAAAAATATTCTTCTACTTTTGTGTGGAGCGACATACAATGTACAGATTTCTCTATACACCAACGTACAGTTAGCTATAAATTCAGATTTCCGAGCCCAAATATAACTGTTTTTTCAATACTCAATCCAAACCTTGTGATGACATTTCAAATTAAATTAACTGCTTTAATCCACCATGTTTTTTGTGTCTATATGTTTTTTTCAATTTTCATCTAATGTACCAATCAACTGAGCTTGTTTTTGCGCGATTTTTGACCGACTCCTGTAAATTTTTGTTGTCTTCCGTGACACTGCATGATTGTATTGATCTAATGTCAATTTTTCGTGTGTTTATTGTTATCTCATGCATGATCAATTTCAGTATCGGGCTAGATGTATGTAACGCTTTATTTAACACTGCCGTGTGTGTTGCAGGTCTATATGTGCTCTTGATCATCGTGGCTGTGTTGTTTCCTGTGTGGACGCTGGCATTGCACATCCTTCTTACCATGACACTGGCTTGCCTCTTGCGCCTCACAGCTCTCTCCTTCACAGTCACTTCGGTTACTCACCTCTACACACACACCATCTCTCATCCATACGCAATCCTGGAATGCTTCCCTCGACACACGTCAACTTTCCGCAGTCACCCAAGTCTTTCCCTCAGTCTCGTACAGGAAGTCCTCAACTGTTAACGTCTGAGTGTCATCCCAAGATTCCTGACTCTCCTAGAGGGGAATTTCATTATTCTGGATGTGAATGTTCCCATTGTCTCAGGAGCTACAAAACTCGCGCTGGTGTTCATGGTCACCGCGATACTCCGACCGACGCAACCGTCACTATTGGCATCGAAGAATTCAGTGGTGAGACTGAGGTTGATGAGCCCGAGGGCCAGGATGACAGGTTCCTCAAGGACCCTCTGAAGGACTTCCACCATCCCTCGTACAGCTCCCGGGAGCCCTCACATACAACTGAAAGTTCAGATCACTCCACATGCTTCAACTTCGATATGTCCAATAGGGTGCGTGTAACTTATATTCGCTTGTTTGTGGTTACTTTATCAGTGGCTGTCAGGTATGAATAGTCTCATTTACGACGTATGAATAGGCCCATGGATGTCTGGTGCGACACTCTACCAAGGTCCAAGTATGTCGTACTCTGCGGACCGCACATAAAACATTCCTCCAGTTCACCCAAATCGAATATTTTCGTCAAAAAAATATTTTAAACAATTTTCTATCAAGCGTTTTTCACTTGCTGATTTTTTTTCTTCTTATTTACGAAGAGACTTGTCGTGCAGGCTCGCTTACCCAAAGGAATCAACAACATCAGGCCGCACCTGAAGGACGTGGACAACGTTCCTCTGCTGGTGTCGCTCTTCACGGACTGCACGGCATCCGCGACTCAGCAGATGCTGGAGATCATGCAGGAGAACGATGAAGTGGTTCTAGTCATGGGCTCCTCCGCCAACTTCGACAATGTTCCGCTCTTCGTCAGATCTGATGCCAGGTCATTCAAGTTATGAACTTCAGCTGCCGTCTTCTTATAATAAAACATCCAAGCGTTGCTGAAATCTATCATAATTTTGCAGCTAAATTTACCAATGTGTTCGTTTTCATCTGTTCATTTTTCTGACGAGTCAAAATACACTGTAAATTTCATAGAAAAGCCAATTACGTTGACAACAAATTCATTGATGCTTGAGAAAATGATAACCATAAATTTTCTGAATTTATTTGGATCGCTTCCCACCATCGATGAGTTACAACTTGATTATCAGGTGTAATTTCACGAGATTTTCATGTTGGAGCTCTGTGACTCGCAAGCCAATATTGCTAACCATAACAAAGAATTCGGTTTTCATGCTGGTCTGCCCTAGGGCCGCACGGTCTAAACTCACTCAAGTCCACGTTGCGGTCGATTTCTCGTCTATGCTTCGTGCTTAGCTGGAAAATCTTCCATTGATTGGCTGACGAAGTTAGAAACTCGTAATTATTTTTGGTAGTACGGCTTCTGATGCACGTTTATAATTGTGAGTACATGTCTGTTCAGCGTGGGGGTGGAGCCACTGTACCCCGTGGTGTGCATGCGCGAGCGCGTCTTCGAGGAGCCGTCGTGCGCGCTGTCGCCCACCAAGCTGGCGACGAGGCTGCACTGCCTGCCCGCCGCCCTGCACTTCACGTCGTCGCCGCTTTCCCTAGTGCCGCTCATTGAGAAGGTGGGTCAAATATACACGGTAGTGGGTCACCCAACACTTATACCTGGTGTTGGGTCACCTAACGCTGATACCTGGTGTTGGGTCACCTAACGCTGATACCTGGTGTTGGCGTTATCACTTGACGTCTTTCATAAATCTTCGATTGGTTGTATACGTTAGCATGGGTTACACAAAATCGGCTCAGTCGTTCATTTCAAAGGCACCGTACGCCGATTATTTCTGAATTCCGTTTGTTTCTCGCTGCATTATGAAATTTTTATGGCCCATTAATCGTTTATATACAACTGGTTCACGTATGAATTTGGCTAAACGACTTCCAGCTAATATTAACCCTGCACTGTGCAGGCGCGGCATCTGGTGCAGTGCAGCAACAACTGCCTGCAGTTCTGGGCAGGCTGCTGCTGCACGCTCGTCCTGCTGCAGCTCCTGGCCCTGCTTGCCGTCCTGCCGCCTGCCTTGCATGCCGGTAACCTGCAGCTACCCATTGCTACACCTATTTTAATACGTGCCGTTCCGGGGACTTCTAACGATTATAGATAATAGCGCAGTTATAAATTGATTTGTATTTATAAATAATATGCTCTAATGTCTGATAGCTATTTATTCATTGGTTATTCTCAATTTTATTGGCTTGGTCATGATAGTTAATGTGGAGTTTGAAGAACATAAAAATATTCAAAGTAATGCTGTGTTGAATTGAATGTTCTGTGTGTGTACCAGTGGACGTGAGTTTCCTGGTGCTGGTGACGCTGCCGCTGCTGACGCTGTCGCTGCTGGCGACGCCCCACAACCCTGAGGTCATGAAGATCGCCACGGGCAAGAATATCCTCGCGCCTAACTCTCAGGTCCGCTCCTTCAAGGCTAATCAGTGATAGTCATTTTTTAATCACTAGGTATCACTGAGTGATAGTCATTTATGAGTGATAATGGTAATGAGTGATAGTCATTTTTTAATGACTATTACTGAGTGATAGTCATTTATGAGTGATAATGGTAATGAGTGATAGTAATTTTTTAATGACTATTACTGAGTGATAGTCATTTATGAGTGACAATGGTAATGAGTGATTAATGGTTTTTTCGCCCAAACATGTAAAAAAATTAATGAAATGGCCTCTAAATCTGTATTACCGCAACAGAGTTTTAATTTTTTATTTTTGCCAGAAAATATGTAGTATATAATTTCGAATTTTAATTAATTACCTAATTGCTACGGTATCTCTGATTGTTCATTCGATTTTACGAATATGAAGAATTATCTATAGCTTTTTTTGTCTCATTCATGTTTTTGATATTCCTTCTGACATGATGTCGTTTTAATAAAATCCTTCATTGATTCCAAGCTTAAAGACGAACCTGGCATTCATAATTGTTGTTCGTTGTCCACAGCTGTTGCGCTATGTATGCACTCACTACGGCAGCAAGTTCCTGCCGTCTCTGTTCGTGTTGCTGCTCTGCAGTGGTCTTGCCCTCAGGAGCTTCTGTCATTCTGTTGGTGGCAGACATTCCACCAGCTCTGCCAGCTCTAATGGCGACAGCGCTAATGTCTCTACCAGCCCTACCGGGGACACTTCCTACGTCACAGTGCCATCGTCTATTGAAATCGACCTCAATGATGCTGCTCTCAATGCGTCTTCCAGCAATGAGACGTTGATTGAGAAACTTGCGCCAGCTGCAGCCATTGTGGAGCCGTCAGCCCAGTGTTTTTACGTGTACAGAGTTGCATATGACAAGCAGTGAGTCGTGTTTACGTGTACAGAGTTGCATAGGACAAGCAGTGAGTCGTGTTTACGTGTACAGAGTTGCATAGGACAAGCAGTGAGTCGTGTTTACGTGTACAGAGTTGCATATGACAAGCAGTGAGTCGTGTTTACGTGTACATGTTGTTCGTGATGGCCAGTAAATCCACAATAAGAAATAACTTCATAACGCCTGTTCTCTTTAAACTTTCCTGCTCAGGAAAGAGAACAGGCGTTTCCTGCTCCTTCTTCCTATTAGCTCAGTTGCGCCCCATTACCGTCTTCACCCCGAATTATCTAATGCTTCCCCTTTTATCGCTGTTAGCTGTTAAATGTTACCATGTTATGCTCGAAAATTTATTATCTGTTCTTTAAAGCGATCCAGTGTTTCTGCATCTAAGGCCCTTTTAGTCTATTTTGCTTCAAGTCATTCAGGGTTGCCCACAATACTAATTGCCAAATTCATAAACTAAGTTCACTAGCTGACTGGATCACCAACTAAATGATTAGCCTTGTTATTGATATGTGGAATATCTTATGAAATTATTTACAAATGATAAATATCGTATAGTAATTATCTTCCCAGGGAAACTCGCTTGTAATTTCCTGATTGCTTCCTTATGTCTTCAGAGGAGAGCAGCAGCTGGTGGGGTGGGGCCCTCACTATGCGGCGTCTGTACGCGGCGTTCAGTGCTGGACGGCCTTTGTATTCTTGTCTTATATGTGTGAGTTGTGTTCGTGTTGCTTAATAAACAACTCTTAGTTGCTTTTTTATAATTACAATTTATATTTAAGTTTCTCGTACATGAGCTCAAAATTGACAATAATTTTTCGAAGACTGGATCGAGTGCAAATACACAAGAAGTTTCAAATTTTTTATTAATTTGGCATCAATTATACAGCCAAATGTTTTTAATTACATGTATGCTTTCTATTTTCACGTACAAAGATCATAGTCGGCTTTCATATAAATTATCAGTAACGTTTGTTGTATGTCTTCAAATTAATGGCTTATCTGCCTCGTGTTGACCAGGCGTGGTATCGGTGTCGTTCGTGCATCGCTCGTCGCAAGTCTGGAAGAAGAATCCCTTCACTAACGTCGTATGGGCAGTCACCGTACCACTCGTGTGAGTGTAAAGCTACAATTTTTATAGCATTCTGAATATAATCCTTAACGAGCTGGTTATAAAGCTCTACATCTATGGATATTTTATTGGTGACGAGAAAATTTGAAACTCTGCGCTGCTCGCTGTAATTTAGTCAGCTTGTGAAATCATGGTACTTCGAGTCGTTAAGGAAGTAGAGGGGTTAAGATTGATTTCACAATTTGCCCCCTTAGCTGCTAAAGTCCGCTATGAAGTTAGTAATGTACTTGAAGGCTCGACTCTTCTTGATTGCTCTCAGCCTGTTACAAAATCTGCTCGATCTAATCGAGCGTATCTCGTTGATAATAGTTCTCTTACTCAACCGTTTTAATGATGCTGAAGTAAATAAACACCACGAGTGTCATTCAAGTTATTTTCTATGTCGTTTAAGTTATTTTCTAAGTCATTTAGGTATTTTGTTAACCTCATCTCAAAGTGTTACAAGTGGTGCATGTGTCCGTAGCGTGACCCTGCAGCTGCTATACACGTGGTTGGTGTGTGGGGACGCGGCTACGGCGCCTGCGAGAGCTGCTGAGGCGGGGCTGACGGCGCTGCCTGACGAGGCGTGGCTGACGGCGCTGCTGTGGGGGCTGCTGCTTCTGCCCATCAATGAACTGCTCAAGAGGATGGAGATCAGGTACACATATTGGCTTACATTCGTGTTCTTAAAGAGAAAAATTTCATTGTTTACTAAGAAGGTAGGCAGTTTACTAAGAATATTAAATTTTGATGCAGGTCTAGATAACTGACAGAAGATTGCTCATGTCCACAAGAAGGTAGTTTATTAAGAAGAATAAATTTTGGAACGAGTCTAGATAATTGACAGCAGATTGCTCATGACCACAAGTTGTTTATATGTTACAGATATTATCAGCAAAGTTCATGTGTGTTATTCGTAGGCCTAATTTACGTAATTGTATTCAATTTATTGATGGTTTTTGTTCATTTGCAGGGCCAACGTGCGTTATCAGAAGAGAGCTAGACTCGAGTTCGGCACCAAGCTTGGCATGAACTCGCCTTTTTAACAAGAATTTTCAACCATATCCAACCATAATATCCAGCCACATCGAGGCAAAATGGCTCGAAGCTTTCAAGCAGCTCCAGCGTTCACGTCTCTGGCATTGCAGGTTCTCGTGTTCCAATTCTACGTACGGTCAATTTTCTGGAGACGATTTTACACAAATTTTAATCATCCATTTAGAATATGTATAGCTCTCGTTTCGCTAGAACTCATTGTCCCGAAGATATATTTCTTGCAAATTTTTGTATTGTGTATCGAGGTAGAATGAACCACAACGCTATTTTATTTAAATTCATTGATGTTTTTGCAGTATTTTATCAGAATTATTGGCCACGAAACATTCTCTTTATTTCTGTTGAGTATTTTATGCATAATTGTTATGCTTACTTATGAATAGTCCAGATGAACGAAAAAAATCTCAATTAGAACTAAATCAAATTTCGGTTCGCTTACTTAAGACCCAGTTAGAAATAACAGTCGTGTAAAGCAGCAAGAATAAACTTGCGAATGTTCCAATGTGCCAAGTCGTGCCGGACGTTCTTTTGTTAACTTATTTTAAGGTGTACGTTGTGATTATACTAGTGTATATTAAGTCCCAACTCAGTCATTGTGGGCATATTTATTCTAGTTTGAACAAATTTCAAAAAAATATTTCTAAGGCCTTGTATATGTGTCTTCAGCCTGAGTATTTAAGCTTTGCGTGCTCGTGCCAAATCTTGTGTTCCGGAGACTTGGATGGTTGATGATCCTGAGAGCCAAGCGTGGCAGGCCTCATGCTAATCCTAACCTTAAACACCACCTTGAAATTACGCGGAATACCCTTGTCTTCTGTACCAATATTCGCTCAAGCATTAAGCGATCGGTTCACCCTTCATTTCCCCAAAAATGTAGCCGATCTGAGCCCCATCATGGGTAATTGAATCACATTAGAAATCTGAAGAATAGAAATCGAATGGGTGCATTGGAGGCAAGCTGCTGAAATAATGCTAATTTTTTTTTCTTAATTTCACTATGATACTTGTGGTGTTGTAATGTTGACGAAGTTCTTCAATTGCTTCCGAATATTTATTATATGGCGTTAAAACGCAGCCTAAGCCAAAATGAATGTATGTAAGGAGTCTTATAACGAACGTTGAATTTTTGAAATTTGTTTTCGAAATTTTGCTCTCTTCTGTGTGCAAAATTAGGTCATGATCTTTTGCCTCTTAATTTTTCTGAACGTACGGTAGCCATGCTCCGTTTGTACTCATTATTTATTTCTTAAAATCCTCTGAAAAGCATATCGATCGTCTTGCTGCGATCAACCCCGTATAGCTGGTTTGGTCAACTGTTTTAAAATATCTCACGTATTGGAGTCTTCTAATATTTTTCTCGAGAGCTTATCGCTCCAATTCTACGGGTGAAATTCTTTATTGGTTCTCAAAAATTTTTGGCTCTGGATATTTATGTATACTAATTTATTGTATTTACATAACATTTTGTTTTGCATGATGTAAAATTCTTGAAGTTGCTTAAACCTTACGGCTAAAACTTCTACTCGTGAACACAATCACTATTGCGGTCTGTATTGTCTGATAAGCAAGAATAAAGTGCCAGAGTGTCGTGGTTGCAAGCGTTTGAGGCGATGTCGACTGAAAAATGGTGCAGAATTTATTACAAATTAGCGGAAAACAAATAAAACAATTGTTCTTCCTAATAATTTTAATATTTTGATATTCTTTAGTTTCTACTACAGCAATGTCGTAATCAGTATCCAATTACGGATGCAAATAGAACTGTACACCCGAGTCTAGTGTGTAGTGAAGTAGAAAATGTTCATATACTCGCATAATTTTGAGCGGCATAATGATAGATAATTGTTTATTAGTCAAGTTGATTTTGCTGATATTTTTTCCATTTAATCTTTCATAAGAACTAATGCATTATCATTTCCTAAAAAACTTTGTCTCGCAAAAGGTCATATTAATGTATTCTAACGGAAAAAAGTCAGGCCAAATTTAAATGAAGGCCACCAAACGCTGGCGTTGATGTGCCATAAAGACAGTGATGGTACATAGAAATGGTGGTGGTGCAACTACAGAAGTGCACCTGTTGTCCTTGTAGTGTTAGTGTAAACCAGGGTTGTGATCTTGTATAAGTATTTTCTGTGATGATCGTCGAGCAATAATTCAGGGCTTGGATAAAATTGAAGTATTGGTTCTGATTATATATGTTCTTGTCTTGCGTGCCAACATAAGGCTCTGTTGTATGTTCTTCCAGTTTGTTCTAAATTTTTGGGTCAGCAATGACTGGAGTTTTATTTTAAAATTAACTTTAACTTCAGAAAAATATTCACCTTGACGTTTTTAGTTCTTGATCTCCTGTTTGTTATTGAGACATACATCTTATTTCCGTCTGCTAAATGGTAATGAAGAACCCATGTGTTGCAAGAGAAGACATTTATATTGTTTATGCGATCTCCTCTAAATATCAAAATATTATTTTTTTATTATCCTGCCGGTAAAATAAAATCTATTGAGCCACTAAGGCAGTTATGCTTTTTTGTGCGTGGATAAGGCAGCATTTGCTGCAGGCGAAGAAGATTGTCGGGTAAAATTTAATTTTTTTTTCTGAATTAAATTGAGCTTAATTATCTCGAAAAACTTTTTGCGAAATCGTCTTCGTTTAAAAATGTTCATTCATTATTTAATACCGTAATCCAACGCTTTATGTGATTATGTCTGATTTTTGTAAAATGAAGCGTGAAATAATGGTTGTTCCGCAATATTTCACCTCAATGTTCAAAATGGACTAATTTCAATACAGATTTTCACTGTTATATTTATTGTTACTCCTATCTTCTGAAAGTAATTTTCCTCGTGAAACTGCCCTCTTACGTAATAGCATGAAAAATAGGCATTTAAAAGACTGATTTTCACTGCTATACATGTTAATTTTCCTTCCCTTCTATCAAGTGGCTAGTTGTAAGTAAATCCACTCGTCAAAATTACACTCCTACGTCATCGTAAGGACAGTCGGTCTTCCTACTCTCCTTTGAAGTCTTGCACATAATTCAGGTCGTGGGTTTTTCTAAATAAATGATCTGTAATGACCAGACGTGAGCTGGCGTCTCCAGGCGACGGTCGCGTCTACGTCTGGCGCTTGATTGTTGACGAGTCGGCCAGCGACGCGGCCGTTGCCATGGAGACGCCGCACCGCGCTGCTCGGCATTTCTGAGAGCCTCTTAAATTAGTTCCTTTTACAATCAAGCTACTAGAATTATGAACATAATTTACAGGGGCTCATTTTGAATCTCCTCGGTTGATGTATGTTGAAGAGAAAAATTAAGATTGAATATTTCCACTTGATAATTGAAATAACCGCTATTTTCGCACTGCAATATCTCCACTGTTTTAATTAAATGGAAAATCTAGGAGAAGGAAATTCGGATTTATTGATAATAATTAAAGCCAATCGATTGAATAACATGCAATACGAAACTTAATGTTGAAACCAGCAATCAAGAGAGTTCGGCATCAAAGTATTATGACTTAGAAAAGAACGAGCGTCAAATGAGGTTAACAGTTGCCGGTGGGCATGCACGATTTTATCTTACTATGCGTGGAAACTGAACTACATTTAATATGACTTAGAACTTTTTGTTCACAGAAAGTGTATTACTTAGCCAAACAAAGTGGCAGTAATTTCTTTTGGCTCTTGAGGAAGAAGTTCAAGGAATGATGGAAGTCTCACTTGTATTGAAGAGATGAAAGTTTCACTTTTGCTGTACCTACTGTCGAAGCAGACAGTTTAACTTGGTGCTTTTGGGTGATTTATGACACTAAAAGCAGTTGCAAACAGTTAGGTAGCTAGCGAAACACGAGAAGCACATTCATTGTACCGAGAAGATAGTTATATACGGGTAGCAATGTCCGTAGACTTCCTGGGTTGCTCTCGTAGTTCTTCGATGCAGTATACACTTTATATACACATCGCACATACACGTAATATTAACATTGTACGAGTGTGTTGAATTTTACTAAGCAAACATTTACTATGGAGTCGTTTTTAGATGCTCAAATTTGATGAGACTTTCTTTTTATTCAGCTCTGGAGTTATCACAACTAATCCTAATCGAGAGAAAGCCTAAGAAATAGTTCAGCAAATGTTAAATTTTAGACGTGGTTGTAGCAAAACGTGTCCTTATACAAAGAGAAACTTTGCAACTTAGGCATTTTATTATCTTCAGCAGGTCGCAAAAGAAATTTAATTTGGTAATGGAGAAAGTGACTGATGGGAGCGACTTTCGAACGACAAAAAGTAAATTCCTTTCCACGGGGCACCGTGTCGAGGAAATGTGTGCTCAGCTCTCTTGCGATCAGATCGAGTCAGTTTACTCAGTGGAAAAACTCTCCTCGATTAGGAAACTCTCGACATAAATTTAGAAAGATATGAAAATGCGGGGATCCACGCAACCAATCAATAGAGTTGGAAGGATTAAGACTGCAATCGTTACTAACTTCGATGAAAATAATTATAAAAAGATAATAAATATTTCAAATCCTAACAGATGACGGTAGTTTCAAACAAAACTATGTTTCGCAATAGATATTTACGAACTTTGTTTTTCTCTTTAGTCGATAAATAATAACATATTTCTAACAAAGAAACACAGAAGTTAGACCACGTAACAGAAACTAATTGCTCATATTATTAATCCGATATTTTTTCTTGAATTCTTGACTAACTTCATCCTATCCTTTAATCATGTTCCAGATGATTTCATTTTAATTTAGTAAGAATGCGCAACCTAAGTTGTGCATCGATCGCCAGAATTTCGGAGATAAGAAGCCACATTGAAAACCAAGTCAAAATTAAAAGAACCATGAAGGACTTCCACCAATCAGGGCAACTTATCCTGGCCCACCAAGCTTCCTGATGAAAATCGACGATAATGATTATGAGTAAATGGATTCAGAGGGAAGTTTGGTGGACCAGATCAATTGAAACTGATTCAAACTTGAACATTTATAAAGCAATCCATTTTTCATCAGTTCAATTTTTGATTCATAAAGTTTTACACCATTATAGAGCCGCCATCATGAAACTTCTGCTTTCTTATAGAAATTTTGACTAGTTTACAGGCAGATGATGTAATGGTCTCCAAATCACAGAAGCGAGTAATATTCTCTTGTGACCAGACCTTGTAGAAGAGGCTTAGAGAAGCTTGCAATCGGGATCCCGATCCTAGAATGGGAGAGGAAGAAATATCAATAATGGTTTTGGCACTCATTTCCTGAGTCTTCTTTGTTCACCTTGCATGAAAGATTATTTTTAGCGCATTTTCTCATTTATGGAAAAAATGCACTATTGTGCTCGCCATGTCCGTCTGTCTGTCTGTCTGTCTGTCTGTCCGTCCGTCTTTCCGTCCGTCCGTGACCTCAAGTTTTCGTCGACGAAAAAATGCGCTCTCTGTCACTCACTGCAGTGAGTACTGAGTTATATTTTTAGCGCATTTTCTCATTTATGGAAAAATGCACTATTGTGCTCGCCATGTCCGTCTGTCCGTCTGTCTGTCCGTCAGTCCGTCCGTCTGTCCGTGACCTCAATTTTTCGGTGACGAGAAAATGCGCTCTCTGTCACTCACTGCAGTGAGTACTGAGTTATATTTTTTATGATTCTGGGTGTTCAGAAGCTTCCAATGTGTCAAAATCTCTATCATGAAAGTGAAAGGATCTTTATGGACGAGAACAACGACCCACACCGACTTTACGAGTATTCGTTAACAATTGGTATGAAAAACGCGAAACGGTGCAAGAGCACACGGAATGTCCCCTCTGCGGCTGGATCTCAATATCACCGAATATTTGTGGTGTGTACTCGGGTGACAAGTTGAGATTTGCTTCCCTCCGCCGTCTTGTCTGTAAGAGATAGAAAAACTTTGTATGTAGGAGTAACTGAATGTTAAAATTAAAGCCAAGCTGATTTACAATTTCCTCGCGAGACGCATTGAAGCTGTTGTGAAGGCTGAAATGGTTTTACCACCACATTAGCATGATTCAAAATTTTACAGGTGTTCTTATGATTTTGTGTAGCACCATTTTAGCAACATGTCGCCCTGAAGTTGTCAACCGCGTCGTATTCGGACGACGAGGAATACATTTTTTAACCTCCTTGCTTGTTTGTCGAATTCTGCTTAATGAAAGAACTCTTTTTCTTGATGACTGCCTGGGTCCAGCAATTGCCCGATGATACCCAGGTCCCTCAAAGAGAACTTCACACAAAACTCATGACGAAACTTGTGTAATATCAATGAGTGACATTCAAACAGAGTGTTCTTTGTCTTATGAACTTCAAACGAAAGTTGGAAGCCAGGAAGTAATTTGAATGGCACTTCAGAATAAAGAAGGTAATAATTTTCCGGTCTTCCGCACAAAGACTTAATTTCGAACCCTCGTTCAGAAATGTAGTTTTGGAACAAACATTGCCAGAGCTTTGTACCAAACTTTTTATTTCTATCTCTATTTCTATACCTATCTCTTAATAATTTACAGAATAATATTTGCAAACATGCAATAAAATGCATGTTTTCTGCAATGAATTCAACTCAAGATGAAATACATTTAATAAAATGTTATTATGCTGCGAGTAAAAAACATTAAAGCTTATTGGCCAGGGATTTAGTTTTTTCTTTGATTGATATCTGAGTGCTGCTAAAAGAGCAAGCTTACACCGATACCCAAACAAAATGAGCAAATTTTAGAATGCAGTAAGGATATTTTTTGCTTTCATTTTTATACATTTTTCGATGAGCCCAGCAGAACCAGATGTCTTATGTATAACAGTTGCGACTCATCAGAAATTCTGAATTTTGTTTGGAGAAAAAAAAACTACCGTGCGAATAGGGTTAGAAAATATCGATGTTTATGCTTAAAACTTGTAATATCCGTGATATATATGAACTCATAGAGAAAGAAAACACTCTTTTTATATGTACAGAGCAGATCTCGGCTGAGGCGTCGCGTGTGCTATCAGATACACTTGTATGGCGGATGCATTTTTGTATTCCCTAATCCACCCTTCTGCTCATGCAACGAAATTCGTCTTTTCAATAAATAGATATTATTATTATTAGTTAAAAATACAGGAGGCATCACCCTAAGACTCTAGGTATGTCACAAGAGGGCAGCGTGCTTCTCTGTCGGTCATCTGATCAAGGAAAGAGGGCAAGTAGTGAGGGTCTGAGAGGGCCTCAGACCTCAGCAGCACATGCCTCAAATGAGCCCAATTTGCAGCCCTACCTGCATTATCAGCAGTGTAGGCCTAACGTGTTCAGGTTACTCCCTCTTATCGGGCTTTTTTTTAGGTATTTTTATAAGGTGTATACGGTGCAGAAAATTGTCCGAAGCAGACATCATTCTCGTGAAATTAGATAAAAACTACTTCATAAGTGCATCATGCGTGGTTATTATGGAACTGAAAATTGATTAGGTCTA